TTCACCACTTCTATAACCATTGTAACAACCCCCCCAAGACTAAATGATCTGTAGTTGATTTAGAAATGTGCTGCTGAGGAGCAGAGACAGGCTGAGCTTTCTATCTAAACTAATCTCATACTAATTTTTTCTGTCATGTACATTTTGGTACAAATTTAACACCAACCGGATACCTTTTTCTTTTTTTTAAACAACACAATGTTTATAATACAGTATTCCCAATTTCCACTATGGGAACTGTTATGACTAACATTATTAATGGGTGTGTTTAGCCGCTCACGGCACATAGTTGACATTGTGGTCTTGGTTAAATATTGGAAAAGTCAACATAGCTTGAAGCACAAGACACAGCGCCATTACTACAAGTTAACTTCATATCAACATAACTTCCAGGAGACGGTTTGTTTATTGTTCATTCCCTTAAATGTGTCAAGCTGAAAAGCCTCAGATCCTCCGCTTCTCATAATGCAACCAGGTCCTTTTCAGGCGTCTCTCTTGGCTCAGAAACGGCCTTTCTTGGGTGATTTCATATGTGAGTGTACGGTAATTTCTCCATGTCAAGTAAAGGCTAATGAGTCTGTGCTGTTTGTTTGTGGGTCGTTCTGCCTTCAGTTTTGTATTTAATAACTGAAGCTGCTCTGTTGAGTTGAGATCAGATGACTGGCCATTGGCCATCGAAGATGATCCATTACTTTGAAACTCTTGTGGTTCTTTTGCAGTGTGTTTTGGGCCATTATCCATTTGCACTGCTAAAGGCTGTCTGATCTGTTTTACACCATCTGAGCAAAGAGTACAGGCGTGTACACTTCATAGTTCATCTGCTTCTATCAGCAGTCACATCATCAATAAACACTAGTGCGGGAGTCGGCAACTCCAGGCCTCGAGGGCCGGATCCTGCAGGTTTGAGATCTCACCCTGGGTCAACACACCTGAATCACATGATTAGTTCATTACCAGACCTCTGGAGAACTACACGACTTATTGAGGAGATAATTTAGCCATTTAAATCAGCTGTGATGGATCAAGGACACATCTAAAACCTGCAGGACACCGGCCGACACAGGCCTGGAGTTGCCCCCCCTGCACTAGAGTCCCACTTCTACTGCAAGCCACACATGCCCATGCAATACCTGCACCATGTTAGGCAGGTAATGTGGTATGTTTCAGTTACTTTTCTCTTCCCAAATATTTTATTTTGGTTTCATCTATCTTAGAACTGTTCAGGCTCTTTAAGATATTTTCTGACAAAGTCTCATGTGGCCTTCTTGTTCTTAAGTGTAACCCATATACTCAAGAATCCTCTGAATGTGTTGTAAACCCTCTGGATTCCTACTTATTAACGCATCTGTTGATGCAGACAGTGATACTCCACAGAGTATCACTGTCAGTGATACTCCACAGAGTATCACTGTCTCATCATACATCTCCTCAAAAGTGTTTTTGACTTGGCTAGATGTTGTGAAGAAATGAAGGAAAGAATTCTGCAATCATCCACTTTAGGTTTCCTCTGTAGTCTTTCTGAATTCATTACACTATTATTCATTTGGACGCTCCTTAGGTTTTGCTATCTCTCTTTAATAGTTGATTTTTCTTCCTAATAATAATCTTCCTCACTGGCACTGACATGTTTTCAGAACTCATTGTTCCAGTAAAGAGAGACCAAATGAGAGAGTTCAACGGTCAACTCCAGATCTTCTGCCTGCTTAATTTTTTTACAAAATAACATGAAAAGAGGCCTCATCTGTGAAACTGCTTTAACTGTAGAATTACTGCCGAGCCTCTGAAAACTGGGGACTGTGTATAAAAATGTCTGTAATACCTGAGCAGTTAATGAATACTTTTGTTAAGCTGCTTGAAGTAAAGGTGAAGGCCTGCATTTCAATCCAATCTTGACTGTTTGGTTTAAAATTCAGCTACAAAAAAATTCAGAAAAAAAAAAGGTCTTTGGGGACCTAACTGTAAATCCAGAAATTAATTTACATGCAGTGATGATGTGCAGAGAGTGTGTGAAACTCCCACATGACGGATTTATGTGTTGAATATATGATGATCATTAAATTCACAGTTGTGAACATGAACAGCAAATAGCTCTACAATCCATTTGCTGATAAGCTTAAGGGTCTCTTACATTTTTTTACCATCTCATCATCAGATTTTGGAAGATAGCGTTTGGATGACGTTCAACAGCAAATCAAGAACCACGATGTGCTGGCACACAGAGTTAATTAATTACAAGTAGAAGAGGATGTGATCAGTCCCAGTGACTCTCACATGAGTGCTGCTGCAGATGCAGAGGCAGTGAATGTGAAAGAAGGCTTCATTCCTGCAGGGACACGAAAGTCTGAGAGACACTGCTGTACCTCCAAGAAGAGGGACAAGGCAGAGGTTATGAGTAGCAGATGTGACATTACACAGATGCACATCCCTGGACATGATGACATGAGGATGAATAGCTTCTGTTTGGGCTTCCTTATGAGTCCTTTTCCACGTCTACTTCGAATGAAAAACAGGAGCAGATGATGACGATATCAGCAAACAACACAAAAACGAGCACATCATTGTCATAGCAGTCATAGTACTCAAGGTGAGCCGTCATCCATGTACCAGCACAGAACAGAGAGGTCACATGCCATTAGAGCCACCGTCCTACATTTAATCACTCTGCAAATGTCACAGGAGACAGGCAGTGGAAGTTTGACGTTTGGCAAGAGAGCTGGCAACCTGTGCCCAGAATAACCCTCACACACACACACACACATGACCCAACTTAAAACAAACCATAAGGGAGCCCCGTCACATCCATTCAGCAGTGAGCCACAGACAGCCAGGCCTGTTTATAAACACACACGTTGCGAGCTGTGAGCCTGTGCACACATACAGCACATGGGTGTGTGGCTGGTGGTGATTATTCTTTGGGCCCTGGCCTTCAGCTCCAAATAGGCACACACTTGGAAAAAACAAATGGCTGTGAATAAACAACGCGAAAACTGAAGTGCAGATAATAGAAAAACACTTCTTATGGACAAATAAAGGTCCTTTAGTTTAAGGCCAATTATTCGCTATTAATTAAGGCCCTGTATACAAATCAACAGCATGGCAGCGAGCAGCCGGAAGGCGAAAAAAATGAATGGGAAACCTAATTGCAGCTGGTCATCGAACTTCCGCTTTAATGGAAACCCGAGGCCTCCCTCTTAATTGGATTTGAATCCCTTGTTTCCTCCAAGCGCGTGCACGCATATTGTGTTTAATAAGAGGAAACATGTGTGCCAGCCATCCCTGAACGGGACGGCCGCAGGTTTGCGCCAAATCAGAAAGCAACAAGAAGGTGCCGGGCCGTTTAGCAGAAAGCCAGGCGAGGCGATCGCTCGTCATCACTCTCCTGACATCCCATAATCCCATGAGAAAGATTTATGAGCTGACTGGCGAAGACAGCACGGAAAGCAATCTCTCAAACATGCGAGGAAAGAGACTGCGCAGGCTATTTCTATCAGTTTTGAGCGTCTTTTTCCAATAAAAGCCAGCAGGAACAGCAGCAGGCCGCAGCCAGATCCGATCTGCTACACCCTCCCCAGCCTGAAACCACGGCGGTTGTTTGAGATGCTTTGCAAGAAAACGACAAGTTAGGAAAGAATAAACACGAATCCAGGCCGGGGTCCGACAGCAGGTTATATGATGACAGGGAACATGTGATTCCGGTTGGTCATAGTTCTCCATTTCCCGGCTGTTGTCAGAGATTTCCATCAGCAACCAAACCAACCGTGCTGTAAACACAGCCCTCATTTGTTTTCTCCTCAGAGCAATTACACCATGTGATTAAAAAACATTTTAAATAGAGCCTTTGCTGACTTTTATTTGTGTAAAGCGGATCTATTTCATGTCGAGCAGTAATGTAATAATCCCGAGCTGTCATTACAGACCCTTTTTCTTCCCCCTGTGCGCCAAACTACATCTGATCCACGCATTTATGAGAACCAGACTATTGCGCACAACCTCACCGGGTACCACGAATAAGAACTCCACTTCTAAAAAAAACACAAAAAAACCCCCACTTCTGTACCAAGGAAACGGGAGACGTGAGCGCGCTTTACGGAAAGCCTTCAAATTAATATAGGAAATGTTAGCTTCAGCAGACATGCAGAGAGTTTCACGGTGATATTTTACCTCCCAGATGGTCCGAGTTAGCAGATCTAAATATTTGTGCCTTTCGCCTCCTTATAATATTTGACAGAATAAGTGTATTTACCTATGGGCCGTCTAAATAGGAGAGGCATTTTAGAATGCAAATGAACGGCTTATTTGTTAAAAAAAATGTCCTTTACATTACAACATTTACATTTGACGCAGATAAAGGATAAATTCAAGCCATCAAATTTATTTTTTGTCTTAAACGTTTAATTTTATTATTTGATATGAGTCGAAGATTATTGCCCAAATTTATGAACTGACCTAAGAATTTTGAATTTCTGAGGACAGTGACGCCCGCAAACATGCTCCTACAGGCTGTTCCGAGACCAAAGTAACACAGCAAAAATATCCAACATCTATCGAGTCCTTTTACTTTTCTCTCAACGTCAACGTTAACAAAAATATATTTCAGATAAGCTTAATTCAGGTGCGTACTGAGCCAAATGTCTGCTTGTTTTGGTTCCAAAGTTCCAACGTCGAGCGCAAAAATACTGATTATGAAATGAATGTCATTATTTCACTCTTTATTATTTCACTTTATTCTCATTCGTTTCAGTTAATATGAATTTCAGGTTATATTAGAGTTTAGGTGGATGTCTGCTCCGGCGCGGAGCCGCACGTGAAGGAATGCGCGCTCTCCCCTCCTTCTCTATGACGCGCAGAGCGGAACCGGAGCAACGAGCTTTCTGTGAGAGAGGGAAGGCGAGAAGTTGATCCGGTTAAAGGGGGGAAATGTTGTAGTGAGGAGAAGAGGCGTGCCAATAATCAGGGAGGTGTTTTTGATGCGGGCGCGCGTCTCGGAGAACACATGGGAACGCAGCGGTTCAATTACGCAGCGTCACGCGGAGCTCCCTGAGGTGCTGCGGCTGCTGGTGTTTGCTCTGCCTGTCCTCTTCTGGACGCTGAACTTTGTGCGGGACGAAGTTAAAGTTCGGGGGAATACAGGAGCCGTACAGACGGTGTTTCCCACCAGGATGCAGGGACTGAGCTCCCGGGCTCACGCCTTTTCGGTGGAGGCGCTGGTCGGGAAGCCCTGCAAGAGGATTAAAGTGTCGGAGGAGCACGAGCCGAGCAGCGCTGACACCAGCGGCGATAGGAGCATCTTTCCCGGTGAGGACACTTTTGCTTAACCACCGAGAGCACCCCGCTGCTTTTTATTTGAAGGACTTTTACGCACAATTTGGGGGGGAAAAACAGAAAACGCACAACTTTCTAGTCGCAAGGTTCAGTTGATTTTTCATCTTTAGGCCACATTTAAAGTTCTCAAAAATTTAAATTCTCATGATTTAGAATATATTCAATCAGTTAAAACTCAAGAGTTATCACGTGAACTTGCTTTTGAGGAATGGAGCTAAAATTAGCTCGCTCTAGGAACTTTAACATTGATGAAGTAAAATAAGATTTATAATATTACCAATTTTTAAATTTTCCCCAAATTAAAAGAGCTTCCAAAGTTCTGGCTTTCCATTAAATATTTAAAAAATAGACACATTTCTGTGTTTTTTCTCATTTCTCTTTTTTCACTCCTTTCCCCACTTTTCAGACCAGAATAAATATCCCATCAACGAGCTACAGAAAGCATGTCCGACACCGAGGAGTGGAGAAGACCCCTCAGCCTGTGACCCGCAGGGTCAGACTGACAGATCACAGACTGAAGACTCTGACCCGAGCAGCGAAGAGAAGAAGCCGAAGGAGAGCGACTGTCGGCCGGACAGAGAGGTCCGAGTAGAGCTGCAGGGCTCTGAGCTGTGGAGGAGATTCTACGAGATCGGCACCGAGATGATCATCACTAAAGCCGGAAGGTAAAACATCTGCGCAAGAAAGACTAAATTCAAAGAAGTTCGTGTGAAGTCTTAGCCCCGCACAAGCCGTCTTCCTGCTGATTTTACTAACTTTAACCAGCTTTTTTATTTAAAACGTTTAAACTCCAACCGTATTTGCCTCCACGTTAACAAGCAAAGAGCTACAGTCGTTTTTCTGTAGATCACCAGATACAGTGCAGTCTGGCCGTTATGTTTTTAGTGCCACAGTTTGAGATTTCAGTTAAAACGACAGTTTAATCAGATACTTTATCTTAGTGCAATTTAAACCTATCGGTTTAGTTTTCAGTCCGGGCCTCTGAAGGGGATTACCCCCGCAAATAAATTTAAAAAAGACTTGTCTACATTTTTAATGATAACTGAAGGTGTGCTTCCTCATTAGAGCGTCTGTTGCAAATGAAATCCAATGTGGAGCGGGCTTATCAGGCTATGATAATTACATTAACTGTACTGCGGTCACAGGTGCGGCTTTATCGAGGATTTTAAAACGCTCTATCGAGATACAACCAATCGGAGGCGAGCAGAAGAACAACAGTGTACAATAAGATCACTCCCTAAACTAACGAGGCAGCTATCATTAAACAAATTATGAGGTGCAGAACAAAAACTGAAAGTGGCTTTTCATCACGTGGAAATATGTCACTTACTTTTGCTTTTGTGAATTAACTCATATTCATGAACTAAACCGTTTTCTAAATAATTCTTAGCTTGTATTTTACCCATATTTGCCGATCTGTAAGATCTCTTTTATGTGACGCATCGTTTGCACAGAGAAAACTTGTTGCTGGGAGTGTAATTAAGCTTCTATCTCAGGTTCGCAGAAAACGGGTTCTTGCTCAGATAAATGAGTTATTGGAACATGACTGCGCGCTGAAATCTAAGTTCCGTTTACTCAATCACCGACAACACGCGCTGTAAATCTCGGACAGTGACGACGCCCTCGGGGCCCCTGGAGGTCCCTGAACTTTCCTGTGAACCTGGCCGGCAGAAGCAGAAGCGTCTCGGCCTCTTCTTGTCTTTAAGGCGTCGTTATAAACTGAAATCCGCGATGGCCAAATACGCATTTAACAGTTTTATTAAGCAGCTTACATTAAAGAGATCAAACATGACTTCTCTCTTGTTATTTTTCCTCTCCTCTCATCAGGAGAATGTTTCCTTCTGTGCGCGTCAAGGTGCGCAATCTGGACCCTTGCCAGCAGTATTATGTCGCGATGGACGTCATGCCCGTGGACTCCAAACGTTACAGGTGAGCGCCGATTTTTTTATATTCTTCTTGTTGTTGTTTTTTCCTTTTACTTACACGCGCTTTCCTCCACGCAGGTATGTGTACCACAGCTCGCAGTGGATGGTGGCTGGAAACACGGATCACTCCTGCATCTCGCCGCGACTCTACGTGCACCCGGACTCCCCGTGCGCAGGAGAGACGTGGATGCGTCAGGTCATCAGTTTTGACCGAGTCAAGCTCACCAATAACGAGATGGACGATAAGGGACATGTAGGTAACCCACACGCTGCCTCCTGTTGCTCTTCTTGCTTTGGATAAAGGATCGGATGCACTGAGATTGAAAGGGAGTTCGTTTTTTAAGCGGATGTGCTGAATATCATTCTTTAATTTTTGTGTATTAGATCATGATATTAACAAATCTTTCTAATCATTTTTATGTGTTTCTGCGTGTTGCTTTTCTGACTGCGTTGAGAGTTTCAGTCCTCAAACTGCTCTCCTACACATTTGTAACACCGAGGGGAAACCTGGATGTCTTAGAGGGAGGAAGAAAGCGGAAATACTTCTCAGCTCCAAAGTTTACCGCGAAAGATTTAGCAATCTGCAAATGTTGTGACCAGGGAGGCATCTGGAGGCTTTTTACTCAATCCTGCTGTTTATACGGCCACGCTGGAACTTGTGTGTTTGTGAAATTAATTTCATGTTTTAAAAAAAAAGAAAGAAAAGAAAAAAGACAAGAATAACTTTCTCGAAATCCACATCTCTCGTGGTCAGTGTAAAATCTCAAATGGACATTTACCGCATTTTTAATTAACTTAATTGTCTTCACTTTTTTTCTTAACATATTGCTGTTTGTCAGTAAGTGCTGAGTTTATTTTAGAAAGCGTTTCCCTCCACTGTGAAACCTTATATATCACATTACCGTTTTTTTATTGGGCTTTTCTCCTGTGAAAAGAAATAGTCTAGATCAGAGGTGTCAAACATAACGCCTGTGGGTCAGAATCAGCCCGCTGAAGACTCTAATCCGGCCCCATTGGGCAGCTATAGAAAATGGGAAGGAGTGGATAGAGTTTAAATTTCTATCTTTAATTTCATAAATTTTACAGCTTTTCCTATTAATAAAACCTCTCCACCTCCATCGCCTTTCATCATACAACATCACAGTAATTTACTAACAGATAAAGAGCTAAATTTACAGGAAAGTTACTGTTTCAAATATTAAATATCAAATAATATGAAAATATTAATGAGTCCACAATAATTTTAAAAAGAAAAACGTTTGTAATTACAGGATAGTCGGTTTATATTAAACTGTATTAAGAAGAGCTTTAGGCTTTATAATTCCAGAACAGTGAACTATTATAGCCTTTTCTATAATTTTACACATTTATCATGTTGTTTCATCGACCCGGCCCATTTCAGATCACTTAACATCAAAGTGGACTGTATGTGGCCCACGACGCAAAGTGAGTTTAACACAGCTGCTCGAGATGTTAGGACCACACATTTTTACAGTTGTGCTGTTACATTTACATGTTTGTTTGTTTTGACTCTTTTCAGTGTTTTTAATCTACTTTCCCAAATATTAAAAAAATGATAATATTAATATTCCACCTCAAAAATTGTGCTATAAAACCCCAAAAAAACCTTCTAGGAGACCAGTTTTACTCCTCCTATATGAGGAACAAAATAATTGTTTCATATATTTTGTTTTGTTCACAAAGAGGTCACATGTAACCCATAGTGTATTACTAATAATTTGTCAGACCTTTGTTAGTAATATGACATATTTAACCATATTTGATGTTTTATTGTGTTTATTTGATGAAAGGCACATTTGTGCTAAATACTTTTATAAAATGTAGAGCTCTTCATAATTGTATTTTAAAGACTTGGATATTTCCTTTCATTATCCTGTTAGTCATGTAACCTACTGTAGTGCACCAGAAGAAGATTTATATCTAAAACAGCCTGAAATCCACTTTTTTAATTTATTTTTTTAAGAATGAAATTTATTTTAAAATGTGTTTTACATTTTAAAAAAACGACAAAGTACAGCAAAATTTAGTTTTTGCCAGTATTTTCTTTATTTTTTTTAATGTTAGCACAAAAAAATGGAAATGACAGATTTACAAAATTGCATTTTTTTTATTTTAAAGTTTTTTTTAATAAAAAACAAAAAGGAACATGCAGCTGTAATACTTGATATGTCTGTTTCTGATCTGAAAGATGATTCCAAATTGATGTCCACCTTAAAAAAATTAATAAATAAAAAGCCTTTCATTCTTCGTCTCATGATGCAGATCATTCTTCAGTCGATGCATAAATACAAGCCGCGTGTGCACATCATCAAACACAACCCTCGCATGGACTTGTCTCAGATCCAGTCGCTGCCTGCTGACGGAGTGCACAGCTTCTCCTTCCCAGAAACAGAGTTCACCACAGTCACAGCCTACCAGAACCAGCAGGTAACACTCAGCAGCAGTGCTGAAATACTTCTCAATACTTCTCACAAACAGAAGGTTTGAGCTCAGAAACGAAGCGCACTAATGTTGGATTGTTTCTTTAATAAACATCTGACTTTTTCATGAATTGGAACATTAAAAAAATGAAGTGATGTTTAATAAAGAAAAATCAGTCAGTGACTCTGTGTTACTACTGTTTGCCAGATTTGATCAAAAAACAGATGTTTAGCCTTTTCTTCCTTGGCACGGTTGTTATGATGATGTTCCAGTGAACAGCTCAGGCTTCTTGACCTCATAAAAATGTCCACATTGTGAAGCCAGTGAGGCCCGGTTCCATGTGCTCGCAGCCAAATCATAAATTTGCAGTGTTCTGATTTTCTGCTGGTCCAGTTGCTCAGAGAGGGCGTGTGTGTGTGTTCCCGTCGAGGGGACCTGACCCTGCTGTTGGCTACCATTCCTCCAGTAACAGAGCCCTCCGCAGGGACTGCCAGGTCTTTTCATCAGGGCTCATTTTACTATCAGTGAACGTGTTATTACAGAAACGCAGTAACGAGCTGTGACTGCGCCAACTACCGCCGTCCACGGCCTATTAAAGCACAGGATAAAACTGAACGACCCTGAACCTCTTCTGCAAGAACCCCTGTTTGACATGGCTGATCGCCTTGGGTGCTGCTGGGAGATGCAGTCCAGCGGGGGTGCTCTGCCACTCTACTCTATTGTAAAAGCTGAGCTCATTGTTAGCTTAAGCATGTCAACCGTTGACAAATCCACTCTAACCCGTGTCTGTTCCTCTCCTCTGGGCCAGATTACAAAACTGAAGATCGACAGGAACCCCTTCGCCAAAGGCTTCCGAGATCCAGGAAGGAATAGGTATAGCAAACTCTCACTGAACGCTGAACGTAAACACTTTTTATTTAGCTGAAAGTGCTCCACTAAAGGACCCAAGAGGGATCTATAGTTCAACCACTGAAATCTGAAGCCACATAAAACCTTCAAATAAAGCTGAGCTGAGTAGTGCAGAATTTCACACCTCTCAGTACCAAAATTTAAATACTTGGAATAACATTTTTCATTGCTTTTACAGTATGTATAAATACGTGTGTGTGTGTGTGTGTGTGTGTGTGCAGGGGAGTGTTGGATGGCCTGCTCGAGTCATATCCCTGGAGAGGCCCTTTCAGCCTGGACTTCAAGCCTTTCACCATACAGCTCCAAGGTAAAGTGCTCCAGCTCTATTTACTTCTGAGATTTGACTTTTTTAACGTGTTGATTCAGTGTCTTATTTTTTTCCTGTCCTGTCCGTTGACAGGGAGCTCAGGGTCGCCCACCAGCAGTGTGAAGAGCCTCCTTCCCGTCTCTTCATCTTCATCCCTTCACCCGCTGTCCTGCCAGGACGCCGCTGTCCACGCTTTCACTCTCCCCCTCTACAGCAAGACCTCCACCACCTCACCCAGCATTTCCCCTCTGCCCAGCAGAGCCTTCTCCTCCCTGGGAGCAGACAGACTGAGAGGCTTCTCCCCTCTGCCTCCTCTCACAGACCTCCCGCTGTTCTCTGCGCTGCAGGGGAAGAAACCGCCCCACTGCAGGGACCCGTGTCCTCACGAGTCCCCGGGGTCTCCTTGCCTACTCCCCTTACACTGCCCTCTCAGCTCTCAGAGCTCTCCTCTCCCCCCACATCTCTCAGACACTGTAAGCCCGTATTGCCTCTACCGCTACAGCTTCCCTCTGAACCCCCAGCTCGCAGCCATTTCCCGGCACCCCAAACTAGCCGAAGACACTACAGACTGTCTGCTGCGCCAGCCTCCCTGGCTCCCGACCACCAACCACTGCCTCTGACGGCTGGACGGCACTTGCGGGCTCCGGCCCATTGACCATAACAATCCCAAAACTGAACACACAAAACAGAAAGGGCTGATCCTCCTTGATCCGACTGAGAGGAGAAATGTGGCTGTGGGGACTTCTTTGTATTTATAAACTCTTTTACACAAACGTGTTGGAGTTACCAGCACAAACAAGCGATCCCGAACCAGATTGTGAGCAGCTCCTTTTCATTCTGCAATCTCGTCTAGAGCCAGAGAAGCCAAAAACGGAGTAAACAGAAACATTCCTGTTCAGGCAGGATGCAGATTTTTATTCGGGACAGATTGCTTTTGACAGTTCAGTCCACAGTTTTACTGCATCAAGGGCTGTAACAGTGTTACCAAAGAGCATCAGCAATGAGGTATGTAACAGAACTATTATAATGAACGTGTTTGTTAAACTGACCATAAGTGCCCATTAAAGTTTTTTCGTGCTTTTTGTTGAGCTCCACAACTTCCAAATGGTCTTTTTACACACTTTCAAACACGGCAGTGCACACATAGCACACACATAATGACAGTTCTGCTTGAACATAAATGCCAAATGTATTTCAGAGTAAAGCACACATGCAGTATTGAGCAACAGGAAGCAAGTTTGAAGGAGACATGATGAAAGGGTGCACATTATGTTCCAATTATCTGCCGCTGTCCATTTAAAGTGAACAAAAGCATGTTTTGTGTTTTTGAATCTCTGCGTCAGGCCTGGCCACCCCTGACTAATAACATGAGCTCATCAGGTTTCTGTGTGATTTTTAGGGGAAGAACAACAGCTGCCAGAATCCAGGCAGCCAGTTTCCATTCCTGCATTTTATTACCAATAATAAGGCTAATCAGAGATGCATGGAGGTGAAATGGTTATTCAGTAGAGCCCTTTATTCGGAACGAGAGCTTTGCTCTCTGAAACAGTTTAAATCAGCTATTTTCTTGATTGTTGTGTAGCAGAAGCTTTTTTTTTAATGTGAAAGACGTTCAGAGTCAAATGAAAAGCTATCACTACCGTTGGCCAACACAACACGGTTGTTTTGGGGTTTTTTTTTGCGTTCATACCAAATGGGGCACGCCCGTTCAGCCACTGATGTGATAATTCCTGCCTTCAGCTCAGTCAGAAACCAGCACCCGTTCATCCCTGTCTCTCTCCTCCCTCTCAGCAGAGCTAGGAACAGCAGTTTAGGAAAAGTGGGGAGGGAGGGAGAGGGAAATGGCCTGTTTCCCGACAAACGGTCATAACCAAACAGCAATTTACTTGTCACAGCCGAGCATGGCGGTGAGCTAATGTGAGCTGGACATGGAAATAGCAGGAAGAAGTTAATTGAGGATCTCGGTAAGGGGATGGCCCGTGTTTTGGTGAATGGTCAGGTGCGCCGCTATCAAACAGCCTGCTCTTTGTCTGCAGACTGACATAATCTGGACAGGTTATTTGATACTGTCTGTCATTTCCATTTGGCCTGCATAGGACAATCATTTTAAACTCCCTTCTAATTCCTGATCTTTCAATTAGACAAATTGCTTTCATACCAGGAGGGCTGAACATTGCACCTGTCACTCTTTAGTGAAGCAGGCACACGCTTGTGGTAGATATTAGAAGGAAAAAGATAACATGAGCATGTGCGCCTAAATATGAGTGTGCTAAATTGAAAAAGATAAACAAGAGGTTTGACACAGATTCATAGAGTCTGAAATAGCTAAAACTGTGTTTGATAAAATTCAGTTAAATTCAGTGTTGCTTACATAGCACCAAATCATAACAACAGTCGCCTCAATGGGCTTTATATTGTAAGGTAAAGAGCCTAGAATAATACAGAGAAAACCCCAACAATTAAACAACCCCCTATGCTGTGAGCACTTGGTGACAGTGGGAAGAAAAAACTCCCTTTTAACAGGAAGAAACCTCTGGCAAAACCAGGCTCAAGCTGGGGGCAGCCATCTACCATGACTGCACACTGTGAATTAATACATGAAGGAGCACACTTACACTGTACTCTTATACTTGTTGGTTTCAGCATATAGCAGTGTTCATAGTATCATGTCAGACTACGTAAAGTCCATGATGAATGGTGTACCTGTAATGGTCAAAAAGCTGAACAGCTGTACCTCATCAATGTCCATCAAACAATTTTTCTGCCAGTAGAAGGAGAAATATGCCACTAGTCTATGTTCCACCTAGAAAAGGTGCATTTCAGAACTCGTTACAGCAGTAAAGTCAGAAAAGCAAGAAAAAACAGGATTTGTTTAGCTTCTTAGGAGGTAGAGCCAGTCATATGTCACTAGCAAAGCAGTGCAATACTTGTTTTTTTATGGTTAAAAACACACCTGCAGCACGCTTATGGATAGATCCTGATCAGTACTCCGTGAATGGCTTATTTAGCAAGTCACAAATACGTGATAGTGGCAGTAAAGATTAAATTTAATTGTTTTTAAAGGTTTTACACTTTTACTGCCATTCGCTCATGCCATCTTGGATTGTTAATTTGGGGTTTGCGGGACTGCTCCGATTTTCCAAATTGGAAATTTTTTTGTTTTATTGTTTTTAATTTTGTTTGATTTAAATTGTTCAAGATGAAAATTCTAACTGGGAATTGTAAATTCTGTCTTCCAATTTCATCTGGAAAGCAGAATTCATAAAACAAATTTTAAAAAAGTAAAAAAAAAAAAAAAAGCTACCTAGCTAACTGCAAAAGTATCCGGTTTTTAAGTCTGACGTTATCAGGTGTTTCCGGGTCCAAACTCCACTTCAGGTCCCAAAGTCAAACTAACACTGCAGTATCACTGAGAGCTAAAAACTGTTTAAATTCTTTCATCTTTAATAAAATGATCAGTGTGGCTGCTCTACCAGGTGTAACAATTACGTTTAACATCCAGGCATCCATGACAACAGAATTTATTAAATTTAATGGCGTTAGAAGTTAACAGGAAGTTAGCTCGCTAGTTTTCACTTAACATAATATACCATGTTCTGACTGAGAGACTTCTGAAAAAATTAAGACATACAGCTCTGCTTCCGACATAAATAAGGACAGGAAACTAAACAGCAGTGACGTTTGTTGGGATACTGAAGTTGGGCTAGCTGGCTACACAGCTATGGTTAGCATAATATAAACACATTAGCACAGAGAAGCTGGAGGATGAACGTTAACTTTTTTCCACTCGATAAGTTAATGCGGGTGTTCCCGATGGTTAGGGACAAATGCGATCGCATGGCAGGATGCTGTAAACAGACCAAACTTCAGTCAGAAGAACAACAGAGATAATCCATCCACAATAAGGGGTTAGTCATTAATATACTGCCGCGTGAGCTGGGCTGTAGTTACATCGTAAGGTTTTTAAAACAAAGCTTTAAAATGAACAGTGGTAATAAAAAACCGAGATAGGCCGACAGTTATCAATATCTTTTTTAGGGGCTTGTTCAGATTTCATAGAACCTTAATAAACACAGAGTAGTTTGGACCCGGAAGCAGGGTTCTTACATGGTTAGCTTAGCTTATCTTAGCTTAGTTTAGCTTAGCATAAAATTGGAAACTTGGAAGAATATAAAAGCAACAATAGTTCCTTTGACTCTCAGTAATGAGAGTTACATGTATTCATAGATTATAAATTAGCAGGATATGTTTTAAAACCACTTAAAAGATGGATGTGTATTGTATGTAGGCTAAGTCTATAAGAAAATGTCCCTTAGCTCCCTCGTTAAACACTTTCCTAGTGACTTCATGGGCTGAGTCGCTAGTTTTATATACAGAAAAAATGTGAAATTCACTTTGTGAAATCTGATTATAATTTAAGACCGAAAAGACAAATTAGTTTGCTCATTGACTTGTAAATCTTAAGTCGTTGACAATTTGTTAGCTCTTGTCAACAAGTTCTAACAACTTGTCAATCACAAGTCATTAGCCAAAGACTGTGTGGTGTCCCGTGCTCTCCCGTTATATCCGCTTTCAATATGGCGATGTGAAAAAGTTGAGCTCAAGGCTTTATAAATTTACTAACCAGTGGGTGACATCACAGGATCTACTATCCATCTTTTCGCTGTGTTGGTTAGACCCCATAGTGGGTTGAAGGTAACAGCTGGGTTAATCTTTTATCAACTTGTGGAAGAATATCCATATCTGCCCATTCATCCGCTCTATGAATTTGCCTTATACCGAGTCAGCATAATCCTCTGGTTGAAATAACATGGAGGCTGCGCTTATGAAACAACAGAAAGGTTGGCTTGTGTTTTTTTTGTGTGTTGATTTTTTCTGGACTGTTCCACTGTGATTGACAGGTGGTAAAGGGAAAGAAATGTGACCCCGAAGTCATTTGTTTCCAATCATGTGAAATGGCATCCTGAAACAGGAGAGAGGCTCAGCAGAGAGTCGGAACGTGTAAGTATACTCTGCCTTCATTAGATTAAAAAACATGAAACACACACACCACTAACACGTGTATGTCAGTTAATAATAGTTGCCATACACCCACTTACACACACACACACACATGCTCATTCAGCTTAAACGCCCAGCAGCCAAACTCGTGTTCACCTCTGCGTGTCTCTCGTGAAGGTTTATACTGGACCCTATTTTCTCTGCAAATTCAATAAAAGCTGGTTATTTATCAGGTCAGATTATGGGACATGACTGAGCTCAGCTGTAAAGTTAAAAGTGAAACCAGCTGTGGCTGAAATTGAATTACACTCTGTGAGTAATGTGAAAAGCAAGAGCAGTTTAACAGTTATTAAGCACTCCTCTACCGCCCCATCGACCAGGCGTACGCTGCACAGTTACAGTGAAAGTGCTCCTCTCCTCCTCTCTGTGATCGTTATCTCCCTCCTAGTTACAGATATAGTCCAAAACCTCTTCTCTGACGCAGCGCAAGAAGTCTCAATGAGTTAGATTTCTATTTATATGCGCGTGTATACCTTTCAGTACGGCCACACGTGTGCGTAGACGGGGGTCATGGGGGCTTCGCTTTGGCATGTGCTCCCTGACAAGCCTCTGTCTTACAGGAGCAGAGGTTAGATGAGTGGAGGACAAACCGTTTTAACATGTGGTCTGGCAGCTGGCCTCCGTGTTTGTATGTGTGAGTTTTGGGGTTTCCTCTGCATGTTCCATCTGGGCCTCAGACTCATGCCATTCTTCAGAAAAAGTGTTAATCACCCAACCAGTTCTTGCATTCTCCCTCATTTCCCAAATTTATACTTAAGATCATTTCTCTCAGTCCATGCATCATGCTTTATCTTTGGATCTCCTAATTTAAGAAGCCCAAAAAAAGGGATTCAACATAATTAACACACTTGCAGCTATGTGACAGTGCATCCATTTAGCTAAAGCACTTTCTGCACAAAGATTGTCCAAAAAACATGTTCTACCCTTTATGAGCAGCTCCACTCCTCCTGGGAGAAAGTGTGTGTTTGCTAATTCCTCCCCTTGTCTGTTAGGCTAAAGTGTGATTCTACAGGTGTGTGTGTGTGTGTGTGAGAGA